AAAAAAAAAAAAAAAAAAAGAACCACGGCTGCATAGCTGCCGACCACCGACCCCGAGTGCCGACCGTTTTGCAGCCGACCAGTAGGGCCGACCGGTCAGCGGTCTGCCAAAAAGTCAGAAACAGTCATCCACTGATTGTTTTTCAAATCTAAGTTGGCAGCTGTACTGCGTTTGCTGAGTACAGCCCAAATCCACTGAGAAACTTTTGGGGATTGGGGTGGGGGGTATAGGGGAGGGTATAGGGGGTTATAGGGTTGGTACAGGGGGTATTGGGGGGGGTATAAATGTTGGGGGGTGGTTTGGGGGTTTTGAGGGAGTGTATGGGGGTATAGGGGGCGGGTATGGCGGTGTTGCTGGGGTATTGGGTTTTTTTTGCGGGGTGCCGACGACCCCTGACCGGTAGGTGCCAGTAGACCGGTCGGCATCCGACCAGTCAAGAGCGCCAACCGTCGGGGTATGTAACACTGAAATGAAGTAAACCTGAAAAAAAAAAACATTTTTTTTTTTTTTTTTTTTAAACCTATGTTGGGCCGTCGCCCGGCTCGGCACGCCCGGGCCAGTTGGGCACAGGGGGGGTTGCCCAGCAAAACCAGACGGGTCAAGAAAGAGGCAAGGATCCCAGGAAAAAAAAAAAAAAAAGACTTCAAGTCAGGACTATGTACCACTGAAATGAAGTAAACCAAAAAAAAAAAAAAAAAAAAAAAAAAGAAAAAAAAAAGATGTGAGTATGTCGTGAGTAGTTACAGTGCTGATGTGAGTATGTCGTGAGTGAGGCAGTCACTTGGCCCCCCTGTGGACCGAGAACAAGAAAAACAAAGCCAAAAACATAAGAAATCACGTTCCCAACATACCGGCCAGATAAATTCCTCAACGCACTGGCGTGACTTCCACCTCCGCGAGGGCCTTCAGGATGTCGTCGGATTGCACGTTCTTAGTTTTCATTTTTATTTTATTTCCGTCACCGAGGGCCCGCGGGGTCCCAATATATTCTTTTTTCTTTTGTTTCCTACCGACCCTACACCAGACCCCCGAACTTTTCGGACGAGGTCATTGTCTCAAATGGGAAAACAGCTTGGAAAGGTAGGAAACTCTTCAAAGTTCCAAGTTCCAACTTTTTTTTTTTTTTTTTTTTTTTTTGTGTTCATCTACAACAAAATTTTCGAAGGGGGCGCAGGTGAACGCTGATCCAGGGCGGGCTACTTCCCTGGTGCGCCGTACATGCCATGCGGCGCACCGGAACCGTGCGGCTTGTGCATGCCCTGCGGCGCACCGAAACCGCGCGGCTTGTGCGCCGCACGTGCTCAATTGGCTGCACGACGTGCACTTGCAAGTATATGGCAGGAACCACCTACCAGTGCGCCCTCGTCATGAACGTAATCGAGCTACCGACCTAGCTCAGTTGGTACACCGATTAACTGTTGAAAAGCAGACCTGAGTTCGAATCCCTTGGGAAACAGAAGTGTATAGTTCCGACTGTAAACGAGCTATCCTTCCACCGCCCTTGGGGGTTATACCGCAAGTACATGGTCCCAGCCTCGCAGAAAAGTTCTGTTGCCACAAGCAAAACTCGGAGGGGCCGCACAGCGCAGAGCGCTGTTGGGAAAAAAATTGGCACCCTCCGAAGCGGTGCAGGTTTCATGCTGACACCCGCGAGCCGATGTATGGTGTTTTAAAATCTTAGGGCTTTTGTTCAGCAAGTCAGTGGTGCCTAGGCGACGAAACTTGGCGCCAGGTTAGCATGAACCTACCTGCTTCCCCCGATCGCAGCGCACCCTCCTCATGGGCCTCATCATGAACATAAATAAACAAGCGATCTTTCTGGATTGATCGACTGACGACGAGCATGTGTTGCTCTCGTGGAAAGACGGCAGTGATTTCAACCACCAGATTGAATTCACGCTGAGTTATACTTGACATACGCACAGCAAGCAGTAGCGCCGAGCAGCATGGGCATGCAATTGCCACCTTGTTGAAAAATATACTGGAGTGCATACAGAGGCAAGAGGCAAGGAGGAAGAAAAGACGTGCCGTCACGCTTCACACTCAAACTCGTAGAAATGATTAAAAAACACAGCCAATAGGATTTGTTTCCCGAACGTGGTCTGTCGAGGCAGCAGCTCCGGCAGTAGCAAAGCACCAGCGAGAGGAGGGGCATAGCAGAGCAGCAGCAAGAGGAGGAGGAGGAGGAGGAGGAGGACGATGATGGAGACGAACGACGACCATGAGTGGTGGATAAGTAGCAGCTCCGGCAATAGCAGAGCAGTAGCAAGAGGAGGAGGACGACGACCAGGAGCGGTGGGATGAGTAGCAGCTCGAGAAGGAGCAAGAGTAGCAGGAGAGGGGCTGGAGGTGGTGTGGGGAGGAGTAGTTCGGGGTATGACTGGGTGGAAGAGGGCGGGGGGGGCCAATGGAAAAGGGGGTAGAAGAGTAAGAGCATAAGCAGCAGCAGAAGTAGGACGGGCAGGATAAACACGAGGAGATTGGAGTACGGCAGCGAACTTGTGGGCGGAGGAGCAGGAGGAAGAGCTCAAAAAGGAGAGCAACAACAGCAGGAGCAGGAGGAAGAGCGCAGGAAGGAGAGCAACAAGAGCAGGGGCAGATGGAGGAGGAGGAGGATGAGCAGCAGCAGGAGCAACCCACTTAGGCTATTGGTTTAGAATCCACTTCTGAAGCTGAAGGTCACATGTTCAATTCCCTTTTCGTGCGGGTCTCTCCATTATATGAGGGGATGCGCTTGGTCAGCCTGAGGGGAGGGAGCAGAAACTGAAGCAAGAGGTGGGGCGTGAGAGAGGGACAGCATGGAGTACAACTGCCAATCAATGGTGTTTCCAGTTTCAACTGCTAGATCATATTAGCAAGTTTTTGCTCTTTTTTTAAGTTTTTTGAGTTTTTTTTTTTTTTTTTTTTGCAAATTTGCAAGTCTTNCCTCTTTGCCTGTGGGATCTGGCCCTATCTCAAAGGTATCACCAATTACTGTAGGGCGTGCACCTAACCCTGCATGAAATGATATCGGACTGCAAACCTGTATGATATCTGACGTCTAGTTACCCTCTCATTGCTCCAGATGGGGGATGCAAATCCTTTCCAATGCATGACATCCATTCCCTCAATTATCCCACAAGGAGAGTGAAAAAAAAAAAAAAAAAAAAAAAAAAAAAAAAAAAAAAAAAAAAAAAAAAAAAAAAAAAAAAAAAAAAAAAAAAAACATGACACCACACACACACACACACACACACACACAAAAGTTTGATAAAACAGACAAAAACGACCGAGACCGAGTCTCATCACAGGCAGATTGAAAGGAGAGGACCGAGCGCGCGACAGCAAACCATGAAGAAATGATAAGTCGAAGACCTGCCAGCATTTTTTTGGTTTTGTTTTGGAGAGGAAGCTTTTTTTCCACGACGCTCAATCTATTATCACAACAAGCAAAACAATTGAACCAGCAGCTTAGTAGAGTAAATAATCTACAATGGACTTAAACCACCACTACATTTCACAGGCAAACTCGAAACCTCCAAAGAAGAACGTGGTATAAGGTTATACCACATTCTCCGGAGGACGGGCGCCACCGGACCGAAATGGCCGGCGGCCACAGCCAAAACAAAAAAAAAAAAGAGTTGCGCCGCCGCTTTGAAAAAGCTTGGCGCACAGTTCTTTTCCGCCTTGCGCCTCGGGAAAAAAGGGCTCGGACGTGTGGTGGTGGTCAAGGGGAATGAAAAACACCTTGGATATGAATGGCGCACAAAGAGCCTTGGGGAGAAAGGAGACTCAGAACGAGGACAGCAGGGCGGCGCAGCCGATATAAATAAAATAACTGCCATTGGCGCCGGGAGGGTTCTGCACACGGGGCGGGTGATATTTCAGAGAGATTTCGACAAAAACTACTACCACTAGCTAGGCTTCCGGACACTGGACGGACGATCTCCCGGAGAAAGGAGATCATTCGACACGGCACACACCAAACGCTCCGTTGTGTAGAAAGATCCAAACGACAAATAACATATCTCAGTAAGAATTTGTGTTGACAACAACATGAGATTGACCAATGATCCAAAAGCCTGACCAAGTCAACCTGCTGTTCTGACGCAGACGAGTCGAGAGAAGAGTTCGACAACCCACCTGGCAAGCTGTCTGTCCATGCAGTACGCCTATCGCTAGATAGCATGCCATTCGCTGCACTGCCTCCCGCCGCCTATCGCTAGATAGCATGCGTTATGCGCGTTCTCAGTCAAACCCTTGTCTCCTCTTGGCTGGTCGATTTGCGTCCTGTGCATCCCACCTGGCGAGCTGTCCATGCAGTTCTCTGCACTGCCTCCTGCCGCCTATCGCTGGATAGCTTGCGTTATGCGCGTTCTCAGCCAATCCCTAATCGCTTCTTGGCTGGTCGATATGCGTCCTGTGCATCCCACCTGGGGAGCTGTCCATGCAGTTCTCTGCACTGCCTCCCACCACCTATCGCTAGATAGCATACGTTATGCACGTTCTCAGCCAATCCCTTGTTGCCTCTTGGGTGGTCGATTTGCGCCCTGTGCATCCTCTCCTCATCGCATGTACACATTATGGCCTGTGAACTATACAAATACGCGAAACACAGGAACCGTCAAAAAAGAACAACAAAAGCGAAAAAGCAATCCCTATGGGTTCTCCACTTCCCTGTCTAAGGTAAGGTGGGCGATATCCGAGATACTCGAAACGTCACGCTGCGAATGCCGTCAACCCGGTATCACCACTACGTCCACTGAATGTCTCTCACCTTCCTGCCCTCTCATTACAACCCACGAGGAAGGGCGCCATGTGAACCATGCTCAACTTTTCGCCCGGACACAAACTGCGCCTGGCTCAAATTTGTGCCCGAAATGCGCGCAATTCAGGCCAGGCTCGCACTCCGAATGGTGTCAATCCCGTACCCGGACCTGTGCCCACTTAACTTGTCTCACCTTCCTGCCCTCTCCTTAGCAACCCATGAACAAGGGTGTTACGTGGACCATGCTCAACTTTTCGCCCCAACACAATCGCCACCTGGCTCAAATTTGAGCCAGAGAGGACACAATTTAGACCGGGCTAGAATTCAAACAACGGTAGTTCAGACAAGGCATGTGCCAGTGTCACACTTACAGAGGAAGCCTGGTCCCGAAACAGCTGTCGAACGTCAACTTGCAGTTGGTCGAGGGTTAGTTAACAAAGCGAAATCAATCCCCAAGTCATTTATGAACAAATTATTCCCTCCTGCCCCTCCGAATGCTGCTTCCGATAGCTCGCCTGTTTCCCGTCAGAGAAACGAGAAAAAAGTTCTCAGAGTCTTTCGGACAGGTGTCTGAACTGACGCCACCACTGCTCTACATACCATAGTCATGTTCGACCTCACCTGTACCAAAGAGGTAGAGCGCGAGAGGGAGGCCGAGGGGGCGGGTGGTAGAAGGTGGAGGGAAATCGCAGAGGGACAGAGGGTAGGAGGAGGAGGGTATTTTCCGCTGAGGTCCCAGGTGCTCCTTTTTTTACACCTTCCTGGCCTTCGCTCAACTGCATCCTTGCCTGACTCAACAAAAAAACCCTAAGTCTGTGCGCATGTGCTTTGCTCCGATACACACAGACGATAGGAACGACTATATCTACTACCTACTTCAGACACAACCTTTTTCAATGCAAAAGATGTGTACCGTCGCTCTTAGCTAGACGCCCGATTGACTCAGCAGTCCTGACATGCACAGCATAGTCCCAAGAAACCAACAACAAAAGAGGTCCGTAACTTCCGGAGGGTTTCGTGTTGCCTTTCCATGCACAAGGCGACTACCATGACCCGACTTCTTCATGCAAATCGGAATACGGATTGAAGGATAGCTTTGCAACACAACATAGCACAGCTAATGGAATAGCACAACACAGCATAGCATGGCACAGCACATCGCATAAGACCAACAACATAGCATGGACGTGCATATCCCATAGCATAGTAGAATAACAGGCCGTGAATGGCACATGGCCAAAAGCACATATGACATATAGCAGACGAGCACCCACTGTCATTGGCAGTGCTGCTATCTGGCGCCCACGTCACCAAAGTCGGAAATCATTATGGGATAGTTCGCAACTGTAGCCCCTTAACACAGCACAGAATAGAACAAAAATACCACAGCACAGCAACAGAAGCCGAAAGCTGTTGGCACAGACCACAGACCGTTCTAAGCGGCGATCAGCTCCTGCAATGCCGTGGACTTCTCCTCCTGCACTGAAGCATTAGCAACCAGAGGGCAATGGCGACGCGAGTAGAGCCCTGGCATATGAAACATTCCCAAAGGGTAGGGCGCTTAGCACTAACATGGCATGGGACAGAATAGTACAGCAAAGCATAGGACAGCACAGCAGAAATGACTCGCGCAGCGTAGAATAGCAAATGTTTGGCCCGCTGCACAATCTAATACGTCCACGCTCCCAGCCCGAAAACTATGGCATATAATCATATTACCATCATGGTATGGGCCCTTCAGAACTAACATGGCATGCCAAAGAATAGTGCAGCAAAGCATATCGTCGCGCAGCACACAATCGCACGGCAGAGAATAGCAAATGTTCCGCCCGCTGCAAAATCTAATGTCTGCATGCTCCTGGGCAAATAACTCTGGTATATGAGACATAGTCAGAGTACAACGCTCGTCAGGACTGACATGACAGCATACAGCTAACCATACAATACTCCAGCATACGATCGGACGGACAGAGTAGCAATGCACCTTGCCCAGTACTCCAGCATACGTTCGGACGGACAGAGTAGCAATGCACCTTGCCCAGAAACATGACAGGGTACAGCAAACCTTTAGTCCACAGCACAATGTAACGCCTGCAAACACCCGGCCAAATATCTACCGTACGGGGACATAAGGCCTCACTCCACCACACAAAACTCTACAAGTATCTGGAGCTCACAATCGTCCCGATACATTCAACATGTTGCATTCGTCCAAATGCACCTTGTCCAGAAAGCGACAAAATGCATTCAGAACGTTGAGTAGTGGAGTGCGGCCCATGGTCTCCATACAATTGACAATGCAGACTGCTAAAGACATGGAGCACACTGCCCCCCCTCTGCCAGCATACCGCTGTAAAATGTGCACATGCTACGGCGAAGGATCATCAACTTGACGGCACATGGTTCAATATAACAGTGCGCGCTTTGAGCATCAGAGCCATCACATAGCATAGCATAGTATAGCATAGCATTTTCATAGCATAGCATTTATCATGGCTATCACATAGCATTGCATAACATTCTGTGTGCTATGGAAGCATAACAGCTATCACATAGCATAGCATAGGATTTACCATAGCTATCACATAGCATTACATTACATTCTGTGTGCTATTCCATAGCATTGCTCTGTAACAGACGTCGCAGAGAAGTGCCTAACATAGCAAAACATGTCCTTGTTTAGACATCAGATGACAGAAGCTTGATGAGCATATGCTGACAGATCGCATGACATTATACTATGATTATATCTATCACAAAACATAGGACGGCATCACATAACATAAAGTGCTGCAATGCTAAGGCATCTATAGCATATAACTATAGAACAGCTACTGTACGACATATCATAACGCAGCCTTGCGGTGCACGGCTCGGCATTGCAGAAAGCATTTATAGCATATATAACTATAGAACAGCTACTGTACGGCATTTCATAACGCAGCCTTGCGGTGCACAGCTCGGGTGTTGAGGAAAAGAGTTACAAAAAACCTATGTGGAGATGTAAGAGATACTCTGCTCTGTGTTGCAACAACACAAACACCAAATCTCCGTAACCCTGACAGTACATCTCCAACGACTAGACATCACAGATATCATGTGCCTCTTTGGCGCTTTTCCACAACAGCGAAAGCACTGTTTCCATATCTGTGTAGAAATTAATGCAAAAAAAAATTCAAAAATTACATTTCCGATTCTGCATGAGCGACAGCATGCAGTTGCCCCTGCAATCAAACTGCCCTTCCTTCAAGCCACCCACGCCGATGCCTCACACGCTTTCCCGGGTCGGTGACCACTGACTAACCACAAACTTACACTTGCTCAGGTTGGGAAGCACAAGGCAAATTCTCCGCCGCATCATAGGCTCCGTGCTGAACCGCATGGCCGGTTCCTCGACGTGCTGAAGGAGCACATCAGCACACTTCCCACCTTCCCACCCAGTAAATGGCATTACATGTAGCTGACGAAAAATTTGAGATAGCCGAACTGCCCTTCAAGCCACCCACGCCGATGCCTCACATGCTTTCTCAGGTCCGGGACCGCTGGCTAGCTACAAACTTACCCTTGCTCAGGTTGGGAAGGACCGGCAAATTGTCCGCTGCATCAAAGGCTCCCTGCTGAACCGCGTGGCCTCGTCCTCGACGTGCTCAAGGAGCACATCAGCACGCTTACCACCTTCCCACCAACGAAAAGGCATTACATGTAGCTGATGACAAATTCGAGACAGCTTGCCTGTTTCTGTGCGAACCCCGGCTCCAAACCTGTGAGATGGAGGACGTCCAGCCGTCTCACCGTCCGAGCCGGTAACATGTTCCTTTGAAACCACTAGTACCTTTGTCGGTTCGAAAATACTCGGCCTCCGACCTTTCAGGAGGCCGAAACGAAACGACGACCGCCGATCGGATTTATCAACGGCGGGCTCGGCCTCCTGAAAGTTCGGAGGTAGACCAGTACTTGTCGAAAATAGGCGCGGAGGTACTAGTGGTTGAACATTGATGAAGCCATAAATCTGCCTTGACGCTGCGACCGGCAATTGCCGCAATCCCAAGCTAGGAGGCTGAGCATGCAGCTTGACAATTTGCCTGTTTACCATTCAACGTGTAGAACCGTAGGCGAATGAGGAGCATAGTCGACTTCAGACTTTCCCAGACGTGTGTGAACAATTAATACCTGATTCAGATCGAGCGTGGTTGCTAAACGGACTGCAACGTTGGTCAACCTATGATAGGAGACGAAAGGAGTGCATGACCAACTTGCGGGCTGCACTTTCGTCGTATGGTGGCAAATCTGCTGGCGCCCTCACTGCTGCAAACCACAATTGAGACCAGCCCACTGTAAGGTAGGAGATGTTGAGGAGCGTGTTCCCCGTATGCAAGCTAAGCCCTACCTTGTGTACCAAGGTACCAACATGTATTGAACACACTCGTGAGGACACTTGCCACCCGCTTTGCAGCGATCGTACCACATGAAAATTGGCACAGTGGAGGTGTGCATGACCGGCTTCCCAGCCTTCAAAGATGCATTCAGAGTGACCCCACCATCCTTCTTATGTCTCCTGTTCCCAGCACGCCCCCCAAAGATCACGTTCACAGCGAGCCAACCATCTTCTTACGTCTCCCGACGACTTACCCTATCGTTATTATTTATCGACTTTACAAGCTGATTGGGACCAACTTCTCGTCGTCGGATCGACGACCCAAACCATGTAGTCAGCTTGCTTGCGAGCATCCGACGCACTTGCACTTTCTCAGCAAATCTCTCCAGAATCTTCTTCAGGGTCCAAGATACCCACCCTATCCTCCCTTACACAAGCCCCACATACAGCTTGTGCCTCCCATAGAACACCTGCCACTGGTACCTTGATAATTGTCTGCCTCCCTGCAATTTGTGCTTCGATTGCGTCATCCTCCACGTGTGTTATCGAAAGCAAAATCACTTGCGGAAGGGGCGGCATAGAACAAGACACTCATTCTGAAGAGGAGAAGACACACTCCTTCAATCTGCTGTACTGATCGTAACACCGCATACATGTCGCGACTTGCCAGCATACTGACGTGGGGATGAAACACTCTCCCATCATAGCCATCCGTGTAGAGGACAAACTCCAAAGGAAATTGACGTTGCATTGCGACTCTGATGCTTGATTGCCACCAAAGGAAGTGTTTCATCCTTTTCGATCATGAAACGGGCATGTAGCCCGCTCCGGGCGTGCTCCAAATCCGCTCCCGATTCTTATTCATGCCAGAACAACCCAGAATGAGAGCAGGTGTCCCCATCATCGCCATCAGTAGAAAGAACAACTCCACACAAAATTAACATTGCATTGCGACTCTGATGCTTGGTAAACACCGAGGGAGGTGTTTCATAGTCTGCTCCCGATTCTCATGGCGCCAGAATAAGCCAGAATTGTGGGTTGAGAGGAGGTGTCCGAAAGAACAAGGAAGGTGGATGGTGTAGGACATGGAAGGGGATGTGCTGGAACACAAAGAGTATCCCCTTGGACCAGATGCACAACCAAGACACCTTCAATATGTTAACTATTCCCAGAATGCTGAATCCACTGAAAATTTCAGACTTCCTACCTCAGCTAGTTGTCCACCTCTCCAGCATCTGAGTCCTCCTGTGAAGATCCTTCGCGCTGATACGAAATCCGCGACGAGCCCTTGAATCGCTCTGCAAAGGATGCCATACCTGAATCACATACACAAAGGCACACCACCACCAGCAAGGTGTAATGGAGGATCCACACACAGGAGGCAATTAACTAGCTGCTGAATGCCACCTACCGTCTTCTTGTGAACACAACACACCCTCATCATGAACGGTATCAGACCGGAGTAACAGCTTCCCTACAATGATTATCATGGCGCATTATTATGTTTGGGGGAAAACTGGATCCAGTTTCCAGCATCAGCATCAGCTGGGCGATGGGCACCTTCTGCATTGCGAGGTTCCCGGCCGTAGTGGGACTGGGAAGTCCCTAGGGCCCATTCTTTCTGAAAACGAAAAACAAGAAAGAAGTTTGGGGGAAGACTGTGAGAACTATGTGGTGAAAGACTTGAGAGAAGACTGCAGGAAGTAAATGGCGCAAGAACAGACTATTCCAAGTAATCTGAACCATGTCCTTACTCATAATGCGACCTTTATATCCCATACGCAAATGGATCACAGGTACTGTGATCCACATACCTTGTTGCCGTCTCGCACAACACACGCCCACACATGTACCTGCCTAGCTCAAACTCCTCACAGCAGCCAATTAACGCAAACTGCTCACAGCATGCCTGCCTCCTCTCTCTCTCTCTCTCTCTCTCTTTTCCTTGCGGCCCTCCTCTATTGCTCCTCCTCCTGCCTCCCTACGTCATCACCCATCCTCCCACCTCCTTGCTTCGCCACCTCCCCACGACCTGGACTTCTGCTTGGCGCCACCTTTCCCCATCTCCTGTCGCCGTCGATCCCTCCACCGCCCTTCTACCACCTCGCTCCTCATACCTCCCTTCTCCGTCACCCATCCTCTGGCCTCTTTCTGCCCTCCTCCGTCTCCACATCTCTCTGCTGCCATCTTTCCTCATCTCCCCTCCTTCGTCCCTCCTCCAGCGGCTATCCTCCTCATTCCACCTCGTACATCCTTCCACGGCCAATTCTCATGCCTCCTCCTCCCTCCTCACTCGTCCTGGTACATCCTCCCCCCTCCCCCTCCTTTTTCCCCCTGCCAACTCAACACCATTTTCCTCCCTCCTCTGTCTTCCCCCTTCCATGTTGATGCCATTTCCCCGTCTTCCCTCCTTCCCGCGGCTCCATCGGCCATCCTCCTCATTCCTTCTCATGCATTCTCCAATCTCCCCTCCATCCTCCCCCCTTCTCCTCCCTCTCCCGAGTCTCCCCGGTTCCACCCCCTCTGTCTTCCCCAGTGCCATCTCGACACCATTTCCCCATCCACCCTCCTCTGATCTCCCCTGATTCCCCCCTCTTCCCTCCTTCCCGTCGCCTCCATCGGCCATCCTCCTCATTCCTCCGATTGCATTCTCCAATCTCCCCGCCACCCTCCCCCCCCTCTCCTCCCTCTCCCGAGTCTACCGCCTTCCACCCCCTCTGTCTTCCCCAGTGCCATCTTGACGCCATTTTCCCATCCGCCCTCCTCTGATCTCCCCTCATTCCCCCCTCTCCCCCCTGCCATCTCGATGGCATTTTCCTTCCTTACTCCCTGCCTTCTCGACCTCATTCCTCCCTCCTCCATCTCCTCCTCCTCCCCCTTGCCATCCCCATGCCATTTTCCTCCCTCCTCGTCCTCCTCCCTGCCTTCTCGATGCCATCTTCCTCCCTCCTCCCGCTTCTTCCCTCCTCCCGCTTCCCCCTGCCATTTCGATGCCAATTTTTTTTATTTTTTTTTAAGTGGGGAGCTTTTCGGTCGGGCTTTCCTCGTGTTTGCCATTATTAAAAAGCAAATATTGACCAGATGCACAAACGACATAAACATATGGCAGTGTATCTTCTAAGATTCATTCTCATTTTGCACAGTGGAGCACGACCCATTCATTCCCAATCAGGTGCAGATGCACAAACGACAAAAACTGATGGCAGCGTATCTTCTAATATTCTAGCGGAAGATTCATTCTCATTTTGCACAGTGGAGCACGCCCCATTCATTTCCAATCAGGTGTGCATTGAGTGTGAGTGTTCGGCGAGCACGGGCAGACATTCGAGGAATCCAGCAACATCATAGAACAGCGACAGTTGTCACCGACAGGCCTAGGAAACACCCATGAACTGCTGAACCACAAACCTGAGTTCGAATCCAGATGGAATCAGTCTAGTACAATAACTCTGGCATCGGTAAAATAACTCTTCTTGAGTTAAGCATCAGTAAAAGAAGACGATGGGCCTCGCTGCACTACTCTAGACTCTCGAATTTTCGAGAGTGGATCGTCGCTGCACTTACTCTCGATTGGGAAACTCTCGAAACCCGATCGAGAGCTGTCAGGAGGCACTCTATAATGCAACTCTAGAAACGTCAAGAGCCCCCCGCCTGCAAAAACGGAATTTGCAAGTGTCCTCTGGAGTTGCCCGCCGACAGGCTCGTTTTTCTGGAGTCGACCTCCTGTCCCGGCAGCCAGACTTCGTCCCGTAGTGCAGTGGTGCAGCTCTTCTGTCGAGTAGGACGACGCCCAGGGTTTCGAGAGTTCACCTAGTGTAATAGGTTATAGAGGAAGTGCGCGAAGGCGGGTATTTCGAGAGTCTCGCCTCTGACAGTGCTAGTCGAACTCTCGAAATATTTCGAGAGTCTAGAGTAGTGCAGCGAGGCCCGATATCTCAAGGCCAGCTTAGGCAGCTTAAAATACAAAAAAAACTGGGGTTCCCCGTTAACCACTAGAGGGTGTGGGTACGCCCTTACTGAGGTCCACATGGAGAGTTCTCCCCCTCAGTGTTTTTTCGGGTAGGTACTACCGTCTTCACCCGAATAGAAAACCCGGTAATTATGGTCGTATCTGGACTGAAAGTTGCATCAAATGCACAGTTATAATGATGGGCCGTTCTATTCGGGGGAAGACGGTAGGTGGTGACGATTGCATTTTGTTTTTCACAAATTTTCAAGAAAGAGGCACACAGTCCCACAAATCAAACTTACCCTTTCCAGCCTTCTCCCGTAACTTCCGTGTATGCCGGCGGAGTAGCCTCTTCGCTTTTCCTCCTCCTCCTGGATTCGGATCCTCTTCGTCGGAGCTGTTTTTCCGCCGTAGCTGCTCCTGCACCCGTATATGCTTCTTCATGAATGCCTTTGCTTTCTTTCGCTGTTCGTTGAAAAGACCCTTAATCGATAGCACGAACCCCTCGCCGGCTCTCTCGTGTTCGAGTTCAAGGCCCCCTCTGGAATCTTTCGAATTTGTCCTTGACAGATGCTCCGCACAGGCTGCAGAGCAATAACCCGTGTTCGTACCGCTGTCAGAGTGGTTATATCTGTCACTAGGATAAACTCCCGATTGGTACTCATTACCATAATGATCGCTGTCGCTGAGATGAAGATCTCCGCTCTGAGTATGCGCCAGTTGAAGAGAACCTTCTCTGGACCTTCCCTGAGCTGAGCCTGAAACATCCTTGAACTTGCGATCCTGATATGCACACACAAAAAAGAATGAAAGAAACAAAAGCACAACAGGGAAAAAAAAAAAACAAAACACAGCACCAACACGGAAAACAACGGGGGAGTTAGTGCATACTTATGCTAGGACTCGTTTACTTACTTCTGGACGTAATTGCAGTCAGATACATCCAGATCCCGCTGTAAATGCGGTCACATACATTTAAGATAAGAGCTAGTGTGAGTACGCCCTTATTCAAACTTCGAAGTTCGAGTACAATGGAAGGTCAAGCGGTGCCCTAAATCCCGCAATGAATGTCGACTGGGGTAGGTCATATGACAGCACAGTGACAAGCAAGCTAAATTGAACAAAATGAAGAAACCAATGAAACAAAAAAAAAAAAAAAAAAA